CCTTTTCGTCCAGGAACGGGGTGCGCGACGGTGTACAGGTGCATGGTGTCCACGGCCACCTCTTCATTGAAGCCCGGCGGTTTGACCACTTTAGCTGGTCTCCTGCTCCCAGCCGTAGTGGAACGGCAGGTTTGACAGCGAAGTTGCTGGCAAGCTTTGACTGCCTTGGGGGCTGCACCCGCCAGACACAGGTGTCGCGCGAGATCTTCATCAGATGGGTGCCCCATGTTTTGGTGGACTCGTCTCAAAGCTGGCTGTGGCCTTCGGCACATGGCTTGGAAAGGAGACTGCCGAGGCCGGTCATCAATCTTGACCGTAGTCAAATCCTCACTAGGACCCCTTGGGACACCGTCGCCCCCCCCTTCTGCAGGTAGTAGTTGGTGTTCGACAGCAAGGGCGTCAAGAATGGTCTGTCTCCTTTTTCTCATGGCCCAGTGGCCTCGAACAACAGCTCTTGCAGAGGACGCCGTGTATTGGCCTGCCGGTTTTGTGTTTTGCCCCGCTGTTGTTGCCCCATGTTCATGAACACGCGCGCATGGTTTGCGCAAGGGCTTCTCATAGGACTCATCAGTGATGTAGACCGTAGTGGGTTTCTTCAATAGTTCCCCATCAGTGACCGCCTTCAAACCAAAGCAGCACACTATGCATGGACCCTCCACATGGCAGATCCACGAGGATGCTCGGAGCCAACATGTCTGCCTTGAACTTGGTTTCGAGCTACCTTCACTCCCAACCGGATGAGTTTTCATTGTTTTGCTCGTAGACGACGAAGGAGTTGTGGTCTGTCCTTAATATATAAATATAACTATAGTTGAGGTTCGTCCATGGCCCCCACACCATACATGGTAGAGCGATCCAGACCAGTTCGGGTTTGAAGCGCTCGACCTCGTTCAGGACCTTTTCTTTTTCTTCTGGTTGAAATAGGTTAAATAGATCGTGTCCAAAACGTAGATCTCGCGGTTCCAACACATTCAGGTTGGCCTTGGCATACTCGAGGGTTAGTTGGGCATGTCCACAAAACAACTCCAAGAGCGTCCAAGAGAGCCACTGGTTCTCCATCTCCACGAAGGGCTGTGGGCCAGATGTTATCAGCTGCCCGTGAACGCACCGGATCAGTTGCGCGCTCGATGGTGTCCAACGCGGTTGCGGTGAAGGCCAGCAGGGTGGTCATGAGCGCTCCCAAAGTTTGCCTTGCCCAGCCTCTGACCCTTTTTCTCGCGACCTTCTTCATCTTGTGGCTAGGAAGCCGCTACGGAAGCCGCTTCATCTGGTCATAGTCGTCGGGGTAGTGGAGCGACACCAAATCTACTGTGTCGTTCGTGTCCCCAGTGTCCTTGATCGAGACCTCATAGTTCTTGCTCCCACCAATAGGTTGAAGATGCCCTTGTTGGTGTAACCTCAACCTCAGTCTCCCCTGAGTTCATAGCTTGTTTCCCCCCCTTTACGAGCCCTCTTGGCCTCCATAGTCTCGTCTACTGACGCCCAGTAGTTTCTTGACTTGACGCGGCGAGCTGCTGCTCCTGGAGGGCCTTGACCGTCTTCTCCAAGGCTTGGATCTTGTCGGAGGCGTCTTCCGGCTCGACCATCGAGGAGTCCTCGACGAACTCAATGTCCTCGTCTTCTTCCGAGGCGTGGCCTTGCTCTTCACCTTGGGGTGGCGACTGCTTGCGCCCGTCTTGGTTGACTGCCTCCAGATGGTGACGTCACAGCCGTGGACTCCGGATCCTGATGGCCCTGAACTAGGTTCTGGGCCAGGCGGACCAGATCGGGCAAGCCATCTTGGTCTCCGCGATTGCCCATTCCAAATAGCTGAAGGGCACCTCGCAGTAGCGGTATCCCTTGTACCGGCCAAACGGCACCACTTCGTCCTGAGTGGCCGGCACACTGTCGCGGATCATCCGCATCAGTAGTCCTCGGGTGGGTTTTGGTGGAATGTCCACCCCCATCTCGCGGCACTTGGAGAGGCCCTTCAACTCCTTGCGCTGGTCGGCCCCCCCTCTGCTCCGAGACAATCGAACGGAGTTCCGGCACCGTCCATTCTTTGCGAACGCTCACACCCATCTGGATGAGTGTCTCCACCAGCTCTGCCTTGTTCATCTTCCATGGCGGTGTGGTCGAAGACATCCGGTGAAGGACTCGGGTCGGCGGGCTTGACACCAGTCAGTGTCTGCGGCTCCGTCCGGCCCAAAGAAATCGCCATGAACTTTGAGCACCAGAACTCCACTGAGAAAGATGACGGAGTGCCATAGGGCATTGGTGGTCGGTACAGCAATCGTTTCACAATCTTTATCTAATTAATTGTTCCAACAACTTGGTTTTCAGAGACTGGTTGGACGTCGTCCACGTCCGGGGATCAAAGAATGTTCTTCGGGGAGTGACGTGGATGCGGTACATGTAGTCCGGGGTCTTGATCCAAAAGTCTCTATAGTAATCCTTTGATCTCCACCAATGCTTCATGATGTAGAGGTTCCGCGATCAACATGTCATGCGTAGGTTCCGTGAGCTTCTTTGGAAAAAACAAGGGCGACTGCGGGCTCACCATGTATACCTCTTGCGACTGCGGTACAAAGATCTCGGTAACACTCCAGTCTACACACTCCGGCCACTGAAGCAAATCTGGCTTGGTGCCAGCCACAGAAACTTGTGGATGGCGGAGCAACTCATGATCAAAGAAACCTGGCGTGCGCCAAGTACTGCAAAGTCGGCCAGGCCCTTGGCGATGTCATAGGTCATTCCCAACGAAGCCAATGCTGCCCGGCTGAGAAGAAGAAGAAGAAGTGGCACACCTGGGTTCTCCTCGTTGTTCTCGTCGATGGAGGTCATCAAGGCCTAGTGCTTCTTTTTGTCATCTGTTCTTTTCTCCTCCGAGCGTCTATCCCCATCAGGTCTTCTCTCCCACATCCTCCGGTTCATGCGATCTTGGATGATCGCTTCATCTTGCAACTTGATCAGGGAGTCGGAATTGCCCACCGAAGCCAGGAGGTTCAACTCGGAGGCATTGTCCATGCGCATTTTGTCAACATACCACCAGGCAAGGCAAGTGTCTGGTAGTGTACAACCGACTTCCTTCAATCGGCTGACTTGCCGATCGAACTCTTGGTTGAACTCGCGGATGTCCTGTTGGGCTGTCCTCTTGAGCACCTTGAAGAAGTCTGACATGTAGCGCCCCACCTTGGTCACCTCGCGGTCCATGTAGCGGGGCTTAACCCAATCCACGAACACTTCAACCCCTTGTTCTGAATCAAGCAGACTCGGATCCAGTTCTTCTGCGTCCCGCCAGGCACGGCCAGTGAGGTTGTTGTAGGGCATCAAGGCCTGCTTGGGTCGCGTCAACCTGGTCACGCGGCGCCAGGCCTCAATCTTCCGGATGTATGTAGCCCTTGGCCCTTAGCCTTCAAGCCATCTCTATCATCTTCACCACTGTATTCAGGGATTTGGATCTTGTCCTGCCCCCCAGCCCCACCACGTCGTTCTTCTTGTCCTTGCCATGCGTCCCCTTGGCTTCCCCACCAAGGGTCGTGGCCAACTTCACGAGGTGCTGTCGGCGCCGCTGATGTAGTAGGCCCCAGCAAGGATGCTGCTCGCATCTGCTCGCACTCCTTCACCTGATCCAGCTCCAGGTTCGTCCGCCGGTGTGGACCAGGGATAGTATGATGTATTCCATCTTTTCCATTCCTGCTCGCTCCAGCCGCCCCAACAGCTCCGTAGGTGCGCCTGACCTCACTTCTTCGCGACCATCCGCAGGACGAGCACCCTCCTCATCAAGATCGGCCTCCTGCACGCTGTCACCCCCATCAGGTGTTGGCACACTAGCCCAAGTAGCGACCCCAGCCAACCACGACCACCGTGATGAAATAGATCACCTCCAAACCACCCCAGGAAGTCCCACCGCACGGAGAAAGGGATATGGCTCCACGCTACCAATGTAAACAAGCAAAAGCGGTAACACCTTTCACAAGTCACAAGACAGCGAACTCTTGTGCCTGAATGCGACAGAATCCGGTTCAACTGAGTGATCATTCACAAGTTCCTACGTGACGCCTGTCTTGTGGGGCTCGCTGGGCTTGCGCTGCAGGTCTGCTCTTCCCACCCATTTTTAAAACTGCTCAAACATGCCGTATGCAGAGTTGCCTTGCTTTGCATGGCGCATCTGCTGTACCTTGTCAGGGCATGATGACCCTAAGACATAGGGTTTCAATGGCCTGGTCATGGCATCTGCCATTGGTTTAATTTACCTGGACGTCTGCAATTGCAGATATGCCTCGACGGGCGTGCCAAGATTTACTGAGTCGATCTTGGTACAGCCATCGTTCAAATTGAACCCAATGGCCAACGTGAAAATTGGAGAGAAGCATCTGCGCGAAGAACAACACTGAAAATCAGCAATTCAAAATGCAGAAGTCAGGCTAAGTCTGCCATAGTTCGTTGATGGCTCTCTCAGTCCAAGAAATACAGTGCTTGGCACGACACGACAAAATTTAGTAGAAGAGGTCGTCAACGCATCAAACAATTTCCAAGGGGATCAAAACTGTGTTCGCGGACGTTGAGGAACGCAATGTGGCTGAGTTGTGTGTTGAGCATGGGTATATCCATCGCAATAGGTTGGAGGCCATCGTTACTAGTAACAAGAAGCTACTAGCAACAAGGTCAGTTAGTTTACTGTGTGGAACATGGTCTTTATGGTTGGCCCCATTGGGGTTTCGGAAGTAGATGTTCCAATAAATCAAACACATTCATGTAGCCGAAAACTGCAAAGCCAAGAAGGCAACCTTATGTATGTAGATGCCGATTAAGCAAGGCTCATGTCACCAATAGATTTGGCTTTGGTTTGAAAAGCCAAGAAGCCTACAATGGTTTTGGTTTGGCTGCGGCTTGGTTGGCTGTGTCTTTTTTGGCTTGGTTTGGCTTGAGAGACCTGGATTGGATTTGGGGGAAGCGTACAAGCAACAGGATGTGTTGATTCAGTAATTTGGTAATGCCTTTTGAGTACGCAAAAAGTTGAGTTCGCAACAGTGTTTGATGCATGTGCCTCAAAATTTCAGCATCCTTCGCCGGCATTCGCCGGCGACAATCTACAGCGTTCGCAGCTGTAGAAAGACACAGTGCTGACTGAACTCGTATAGCGAGCTCAATCGGCACAACTGGCTACGTATTGAAAAGCGTGCTTGTCGGAAGCAGCCTTGAGGAATTGAAGTTCTGTAGGTTCGGGAAAACGGTGCTCTTGTCCTGTGCATCCATGCCCATCCACTCTGCAATGGGCAGCATCACACTCTCCCACGGGTACTTTGGAATCATCCGACCTCTACCAACATCGTACAAGTTTCCCTCAACCAGGGACGCAGGGAACTCATTGTAAATCTCGCCACCGCGTATGTTGCCACCCAAGACAAACGTGTTGCCTGCCCATCCGTGGTCCGTGCCCTTGCCATTCGAGGTCATGGTGCGCCCAAAGTCGGAGGTGGTCACCAACACCACAGACTCAAAAACGCCCTTGCGCGCACACGAATTCTCACAACTGCAGACATGAATCTGCGAAACCAATCAAGCCCACTAGAGGACTGGCAAACCGCTTACCTCCTAGTAGTGACGTAGTCAGCATTTTCTGGCCCCACCTGTGCAAGCATCTCCTTCACAAAGACGTCCAGTCCCTCGTCCACCAATGCAAAGAGTTCATCCAAAGTCTCGTGCACGTCGTTGTGAGTATCAAAACCTCCAAGCTCCACGTAGAAGAACTCTCTTTCCGCCTTCCTGGCCGTGCGACTTGCAACCAATTTGGAGATGGTCTTGAACTGTTTCAATAGACGGTTGGCCGACCCATCTTCCGGCTCTGGCCATGTAGTGCCCAAGGTCACGTTCTGGAGCTGTCCCGCCAGGTACTCAACATTGTCGATCATTCCGCCCAAGGTCTTGGCATACTCCTCCGAGTACACATTGCCGTGCTTTTCTTTGGTGATGTTTTCAATCAGGGGCCTTCCTTGGTTGTTACGTGAGCAGTGCTGTAGAGGAGATAGGGTTGTCAAGCATGTATGCTCCCAAAAGTAACGTAAAACCTTTCCACTCAATCCGGTGATAAATTCTTGCTAGAGCTTGCCGGGCATCGGATTTCAGAGTTCTCAAGGGTGGGAATGTCCCCACTACTGTCCACAGCCTGCTGAAGTGTGTTGAAACCTTCTGACCACGTCTTCTTGCCGTGAAGGGAAAAGGAATTGGTTGCAAACCTCAGCTATCATGAATCATCGGGCTTAAGAAAACTGCATTCAACCCGATCTTGGAGCTTTGCTTGTGCAGTCCACTTGGTGAGCGACCAAAGAAAGATTTTGCTGACTCTAGGACGTGTCTTCCATCTTCAATCCTTCGACTCAAACACAGGACCCGTGAAAAGAAACATGCGTATGGTCCACCGTGGTTTCATCAAGAATCAATTCCAACCCCCACACGCAATTCACCGGCCATGGTTTCCAAGTGCTTTGCCGTGAAGGCAGGGACATCGTCTATGTCATGCCGACAAGGGACTTTTGACCTCCAGCCGCCAAGGCATCAGCTAAGCGACCCCCGACTCCTCTAGGTGATGCTCCAGCCACCTGCAAGAAGAAAAAGCGGTCAGAAGCCAAAAGGTTACAAAACTCCGAAGCCACATGTTCAAAGTTCTATACAGTATGCAGATGCGTTTCTGTTTCGATAAAGAACTTTAGCAATGAATAGCAAGTATTAACAAGCATCGTGTTCTTGGCAGCAAGTCCAAGGATCAGTAAAGGAAAAAAACACATGCACTTACGTTCATTGAAAACTCTTCTTCCATGTGTTCGGGGGAAGCCACCATTCGACAACTATAGGCGTGTGGCATTCCAAACCCAAGCTGGAAAGCACTGGTGTTGTCTCTTTTTCTTTGCCACCTGTTACCTGTTGGTTGAGAAATTTGCCTATCACCCCAGGTTTGCCGGCACCTACTGCACTTATCACGGGCTTGTGAGCTCACCCTTTACATTAACTATAGAGGTACTCTGGGCATCACACTTCTCACCTAACAAATTGTCACATGCTATCTATATAGACTCTAAGCCATGCCCAGCACCTGACACTTCAGTGTCTGCGTTCCAGCAGTCTGGTCCTCAGCTCGAACTCAGAATCTTGTTTGGGCCGCAGGACCGGGTGAGGGATCAAAAGAAAAGCACCTAGTAGCGTCCTTGCTCCTAGTAGTAAGGCCCTTGCTCCTATATGCGACGGAGATCCAAAAGGAAAACATAAAGTGATCACAAAAAAAACAGTGAGCAATGAAAGTATAGAAGCAGCCGTTAAGCTGCAACTCCTGTTTTGGGCCGCGAGCTGCGAAGGTAAAGTCAACATGACATCCTACTATGTGCAAGGTACAAAATGTACATATTACATGGAGTGAAAATACACCCCCCTCAGCTAAGGTAGCTTTGCTCCCGAAGCTGGACGCGGAAAGTGCACGAGGGCTTGTGCAGGGCGCGACAGTGATGTCGGCTCAAAGCTGCATGGCAGTTGTGGATGCTAGCAATCCACTGCCTTCGTGGCCCTGTACGTGCATTTTAATTATTCACTCCCCGCCGCCAAAAGAAATTGAAAGTTTGGACTTGGGAGGAAAACCGCATACATATTGACAATGGATGTCATGCAATGAATTATGCTCGCTCAGGCAAAAAGGTTGAGACTTGGCTCAACTAACGCCAATGCCACTGGCTCCGACTCGAGCTCCAGTCCCACGAGCGGCGGTCCCACTGCCGCTGCTCGCCCCACTCGCTCCAGTTCCATGAGCTCCATCCCCACGAGGACGATGCTGATCCGGATGCACGTGGGCTCACCGGTGAAGGTGGCGGACCTCCCTTTGCCTTTGAAGCTGGAGTTCCATCACCTCCGGTAGAGGACTTGCGCTTGCCCTTGCTCTGCTGCTGGCGCTGCTCTTGAGTCTGCTTGTTGACCACATCACGCCTGGCAGCGGAGAGGTTGTCGTGGCATAGCTGGCGAAGCTCCTCCATTGCGCAGTATTGACTCATCTGATGCACACCGTCCCAAGCCAAAAGGCCACGATGGGAGTCGGGTGAGTTGATGTACTCGATGTACTCACGCAAGGAGAGGATGTTTGTGCGATAGATCACGCACCATTGCTCAGGAATGTAGTCCATGGCTTGTGGATAGCGATCGGGCGCTACGTCGATGTAGGCCAGCCGTGCCAGAGAATGATCTTCGTCATATCCAAGGCCCAGGCTGACTTGCGCTTTGTTGCGCGGCGGGTTCGCCAAGTGGGCATGGCAAAGCCAATCCTGCCGCTGCGCTGCCCGATGGTCATAGCCCATTTGTAGCATTCGTTCCATGAACTGGACGTCATGCTCGAAGCGATCCTCGATGCTCTGGAAGCCACACTTGTCTGCACGCTTCATCCGGCTGCGAGCGTCTTGGATCATGATCGCTTCTGGGCTCATGTTTCCACGGCCGCTTGCAGACACCACACGCAGGTTGAGGCCAGCCTTGATGTAGTCACTGACTGGGCACTCAGTGCGAGCGAGGCCGGCCCTCGCAAGCTGCTGCTTTCGGAGAACTGAGAGTCTGGTGACAGCTTCCTCCGGCAGCTCGGTGTTGGTGGCAAGTTCGGCTGAACAAATGTCACAGTGGGTCATGCCCCTGAGGACTAGACCCTTGCACTGGCTGCATTCGACCTGGATCACCGTCAGCTTGCGTCCCTTTCGAAGTGTCGGGGCGGTGATCGGCGCATCAAAGCCAGGTGGGGGCCCCGCAGGCTCAGGCGGAGCGTACCCGCTGTAAGATGCTGCAGGTTGATCTTGCTCTGCCTCATTCACGATGGAAGTAGGTGGAGTCGAAGGTGCAGCCTTGCTTGCAGGTGCCGATTTGCTGGTTGCAGTCAGGGAAACAGGCATTGCTTTTGCGGTTGGCCGGGGCTCGCCAGTGATGGCGGCCCGGCTCTCACCTCCATCCGCTGGAGCAGCCTCGGGTAGGCCAACGGCGCTTACCCTGGTCCAGAGTGTGGACTGGCTTTCGGTGTTTTCGACGGAGACAATGTATTCTGGAGGTACCGTGTCAACCGTCATGATCCCACCGGAGCGGTTCTGGAAAAAGATGAGACCGCCATCGACTGCTTCCCGAAGTGCAACGGTAAGCTGAATAGGGTGCTTGCCGCGGAGACCGCTTTGATAGTCGGTCTCCGTAATGCGACTTGCAGCCAGGTAGACATGGGCTCGATCGCTGCCAACAAACTCGCCCCCGCCTGGGATAAGGCCCTCCTTGACGATCCGCTTCCAGCACGCTGGCCTCGTGCGGTGGTAAGCCAAGACAGGGATCTCATCCGCTTCGATGGGCTTCCCAATGAAGGGAGCTTTGGCTTCTGGCCTGAGCGCAGGACTGCAGTACATCAGGGCTGCCGATCTGTAGTTGTCCTGTGCGCTCTTGAACGCGCGCTTGCTTTGGCCAGCAGCGGCACGCATCTTCAGAGGCCATAGTGCCACGCCCTTCTCCTCGAGTTTGTGCCCTTCTCGAATGCCCAAAAACTCAAATCGGTTTTTCTTGTCCTTTGCTGCTATGGCGATCAAGTCTTTGACAGTGAGCGGCGGGGCACTGCGGTGATTCAGGCCGAAACACCTGGCTACTTCGTCCAAGTCTGCGTAGCCATCTTCGTCAACCTCAAGGCCCAGATATTGGTCATGTTGTCGAACAACTTTGGATAACTGAGTGAGCCAATCCTTGAGGGGTTTCGCGAAGAAAAGGTGCCCGCCATTGAGCTCCCATCCGCTCGCAAAGTGGAGCGGCAATTGCTTGTCGCCAAGCTGGACCACTTGCTGGAAGGCGCCATCGACCTCGGCCATCTTGTACGTGTACTCGTGGTATTGGTCTGCAAGATACTGAGGGCACACAACGTGGCCTTCATCAGCATCAGCTGCCGGCGGCGATGAGGGTGCCTCAGGCTCGGGCTCGCCAGTGATGGCGGCCGAGCCTTCCTCGCCATGAGGTGCGCTTTCTTCTTCATGTTCTTCTGGCGCGACCTCCTCATATGGCGATACCTCCTCATCATCGATGGCATCGATGTCGAGCCATGCCGCTGGGTTCTCACCAGTTTCGACGCGATGGCTGAGTTCCTCAAGCGTCTGGAGCCGACCCTCATAGGTTTCTCGGCTGATGTCCAGCTCTGCAGCAATCTTCTCCTGCTCTTCCTCCATGACATCAAGGCGTTGCTGGAGGATCTTTTCTGCCGTGGCGTCATTTGCGACGAAAATCTCCGAAAGGTCTGGATCATCTTCCTCCCCTTCGGGCTCATCATTGATGACGGCCATGTCTGCCTCGGTAATCGGCGCAGCACGGTTTGGCTGCTCCGCAGCGACGTCCTTCTTGGTAAGGGCGCGAGCGGTGAGCTCGGCTGCGGCGATTGCCCTTTTGTGGCGGACATCGGCAAGGTTTCGGAGTAGCTCTTCGTATCGCTGATGTGGAGGGAGGCGATCATCACGAAGCTCAAGTCCACCGAGCGGACGGTTCATCGGGCTGGTGGCAGCTACTTCCAATGCGATATCTCCGAGAACGTAGAGTCTCATAAGCAGGTGGAATACACTCTGACAAAATGAGAACATATGATTTGCATTCTCGTCCGATTTTTCGCAATGCCATTGGTCACGCAAGTCCATGCGGATGTTGAGGACGTTGATGTTGACTAGGCGGAAGCGACACTGGCCGATCTGAGAACCATACACCTCATCTTGGAACCACTGACTCAGCCGGTTGTACCAGTCGCTGTAGGGTCCCTGCCGCGTGAAGTTGTAGGTCTCAGGATCGGGCGCGCTGATGAGAGCGGCCGAGTGCACACCGTATCGAAACATATCGGCGGCAAACCCGACCAGCTCTTCTTGCACCTTCTCCTGTAGCTCCATGTAGTGATCGCCGTCAGGATGATCGAAGGGCCATGAAGTCTGGGCTTCAATTCCTTTCTTGCCAATGAGCTCGTTGCCAGCCCATACCACGCCAACCAGCAGCATGCAGCCTGGGAACTGGCGCTTGAGGCTCCTCGCGGCAATACGGGCTCGTTTCAGCAACAATGGCAACTCTGCACCCCAGAGGCATTCGTGATGAAAATGCTTGCAGTAAGTCGGACGATAGGCCTGGAAGTGATCGGCCAGATCGAACCTCTGGGGTTTGCGTTTCGAACCGCTAACCAAGCACAAGGTGGAATCAGAGATCAAGATGTGTACCGTTTGGTAGTCTTGGCTCGTGGGCACACCTGTGAAGGCGGCTAGATCATACCGTGAGGTCCGAATCAACGGGCCCAACTCCGGCTCTAGCCATCGGTTCTTCTCGACCAGGCCCGCCAGCACGGAATGTGCTGTGTGCTGGCCAAGGACGCCATTCAGCACCGCGTCCACATCCTCAGAATATCCGTCTTCGAGGTAGTAGCCAGAGGCCACAATCTGCCGAAAGTGCGACTCGAAGATGTCCAAGGTTTCCCTGCGCATGTCTTGGTCAGCCGACATGGTGTGATCAACAATGATCGCTGGCAGGGCGCGCTGCGCGACGGCGGCAGAATGACTTGAGCTGCTATACTTGAAGCAGCGGTGAACAAGATCAGTGTACTCGAACGTGTAACCTTCGGCACTCTTCAATGACTTGCCTCTACTTTGCCCATGAGTATGATCATGTGTACACATGTATTGCTCAAGACATGCAAGCTCATGAAGATTTGTGCATATGTGCCAACTCTTACGCATAAGATTACCGTGATTATCGCGCACACCAAACATGCATCCATCGAAGTTGTATCCTTGCAAGTTGTGGCGTTTGATGAAAGCCAACACCGACGGCCAATGCCAATAGCGACAGCGACGGGAAAGCTCAAAGGCAACAAACGTTCTTGAGTCAAGGTGGTCACGCACGAGCTTGGCGAAGCTCTTGAAGAGTTTGGTGAACTCCTTTTGTTGCTCCTTGATGCGTTCCAATCCTTCCTCAGTTTGCTTGTTGACGTTTCCCCATGGGCTCCCGCCCGTGCAGGGCAAACTGCCGTACAGCAGAACCTTTGCTTTTGGGCGCTGTTGTTTAAAGGTGTTGATTTCTTTGTCAAGCCACCTCATGCACTCGCCTGCGGTTGCATCTTCGTTG